CTGCTGTTCGTCTTCCTCTTTCCTCTACAAGCTCGCTTCCTCGCTGTCTTTTCAGACTTACAGGGCCATCGCTAGTCTACCTTCCCTCTCCCTGGACTTTGACTTTATACCTGCCCTCTTGGGCCTTGCTGTCGACTTTTACTGTGGCCCCTTAACCATCGACTGTCTACTTTGCTCCCGATTTCTCTGTTCTCCATTTAAATTTCAGTTTCATCTGGACTAATGGACCACAGACCGGATAATAATGACCACTCCGGATACTCCACCTGTCTCAGCCAGGAGGCTGAAAACCATATGTTTCTGTGAAGGCTTTGCCGGTATTATGTGCTTCTCCCACATCCTTATGGTCTATAAGAAAAGTTATGGGTTGGGTTTCTGCTCGTGAAGTTACGAGGGCCAATACTGGCCGAGGTGCAAGCCCAAGAATTGACCTCGCCCCACTACATTTATCTGGACAGATTACCAGGCGAGATACTCTTGGACGGATGGCACACTATATCTAAAAAAGTGAACGGAAAGCACGCTGTATATCTGGCTCAGTGGTCCATCAGATCACACCATGTTGCATTAAATGTTTTGGGCCTCGGAGGGGTCAGACGATTAAGCTTGTATGCTCGATCCAACAATCTCATCTCTGTATGGAATTACTGCAGAGCATGGCGCAGCCCTGCCCCGTCCAAAGGGGAACTTCCCAAACCCCCATCTTCCCTGCCCGCCAATGGTCCCCCCCGTGGCCCYCCCCCCCCCCCCYCCCCCCCCCTCTCCCCCAGAAAAAAAAAAGAAAAGTTAATGGTTGCAATCTGGACGTCCAGGCAGGCCCTCCAGTCCGGAAGTTAAAAATCTGTCTCTTATACACATCTAGATGTGTATAAGAGACAGGAGAGAGAGAGAGAGAGAGAGATGCAACATGCAGCATGCCAGTGGTTGGGAGCACAAGGGCAAGTACTAACCTAAAAAAAAAAGAAAAGTTAATGGTTGCAATCTGGACGTCCAGGCAGGCCCTCCAGTCCGGAAGTTAAAAATAAAAATAAAAATGGTTGTTCAATGCCCAACCCCCAAAAAATTGTTTTGGGATTTCTCAACTATTTCCTGGCCCTTTCAGAAAGCCGAAGAGGGCCAGGCTGTGAATTCTGATTGAGAGAGAGAGAGAGAGAGAGAGAGAGAGAGGAAGAAGGCCCGGCTGTGACTGATTCAGAGATTCTGATTTGAGAGAGAGAGAGAGAGAGAGAGAGAGAGAGAGAGAAAGAAAGAGAGTTCACATGCTGGATACTGCCTTGAGGTAGCATTCACCCCGTCTGTAAATCTTCTGTAAGTTGAGAGAGAGAGACAGAGGGAGGGGGAGAGAAGCTGTTTTTTCTTTTTTTTTCCCCTGGAATTTTCCGGATGTCAGTCAGGCCAGACGTTGCACTCTGTCTGGGTTCGGGTCCTGCGTAACCATGATTCAAACTTTTTATTGCGGACTGGGCTGCTCTCAATGAGCGCAGTCGGACCGCGCAGAAAAAAAAAAGAAAAAAAAAAAAAGGATGTTTTGGTCCCAACCGGAATTTCGGTTGGGCTGCCTCAACCGATCCGGTCCGGTCAGATCGTGGCTGGCAGAACAGGCCGATTGCTGGCCCAGCCCTGGTCTTCACCCCATTCCGGAGTGGGCACCGGACGCTACGCCATCTTTTTCTTGGCATGCATCCACCCATGCGACTAACTGTATAACCAGCCACATGCCCAATCACCCATCCCCACAGTCAGCAGCTCCACGAGGTATGCGTTAGACTTAGCATCCCACACACACCGTTGCTTCCCTCACTGAACTTCGTGCAGCAGTTGTTCAGGCATTGACACGCCGTGCCACTGGCCAGATTGGCCCACTTTCCAGACTACACATTTCAGCCAGTCACCCTCCTGCGAGACACCCAGCAAGCCCCACCTCAACCACACACACAGCAAGCACCACGGGACAACGTTTCTTTTATTTATCTGAATTTCCTCGTCTCTTTTGGGGGAAGCAATGCGTAACCTTTGCGAGGACTTCTTGTTTCATTTCATCACTGGCGGTTTGTCCACGTGTCATGTTTGTGTGCTCTGAATGGACTGGCTGTCTTGTGTGTTTTTTTTTTTTTTGTTGTTGTTTCAACTTTTTTCTTTGTTTGTTTTAGTCTCTGAGAACTCTTCTGTGTTTTTGTTTTTTTTTGCTTCATGTTCAGGTGTCATGTGGAGGCACTCACAGCGTTGCATTGACGGAAGATGGACGGGCGTACACGGTATACCTTCTTGTGCTGCCTCCCTCCCCTGTGTATATTAGGCAAAAATGGGAATGCTATCTGTATGATCCAATGTAAATCCTTGTACCGCAGGGCATGAACAACCATGACCAAGCCTTGAAACCGGCGACAGTCTCCTTGGTGTGTTGTGTGATGTGATGGCAGAGAGGGCTAGGGGGGACCATGGAAGGAGGTAGAGGTATTAGAAAATGTAGAAGTTGGTCGTCCTCGAGAGTTAGGGGTGTCTCTATGGTAGCGCCGGGGGGGGGGGGGCTCGTCTGAGACCCTCGGAAGGTGCGGGTTGGTGTATGTCTGGGTCTAGAGACAGCTCTGGGTCGCACCGCTGTAGGACTCGACTTGCGATCTGATTAGGACAAAAAAGGTTCATGAATGATGCCCCCTGGAGGAGACTGCCCTTGGGGCTGACACAAGCCTTATCTGATCTCCCCACTGCTAGAGTACAACGATAGGGACCTCCCGAGGCCTAGCATCCAGCCTCTGCTATGATCTGGACTTAAAAAAAAAAAAAAACTACGAAAGAGAGAAAAACTTTGAAAAAGACAAATCTTGCCTACCACGATCGTACAAAACTTTCTGAGAATTATCTCAGGACCTAGGCTACTAGAGTGGCCCAGGGCCACTTGCCCGGCCGGGCCAGAAAAAAGAAAAATTTAAGTTTATTAAAGTTTACTCTAAAAAACAATGGGAAAGAATTTCGATGTGACCCTGAGGCAAAAGTTGTTCAGTTTTTGTTTTTGCATAACATAGTTTTTTTGGGAGTTTTTTTTGTCTTTTTCTTTCTTTTTTTTTGCTAGGACCTTCCCTGGTCCTTGCACGGCCGGGCTGTGTCCGGGAAAATAGGGTGACCCGGGCGGCCCGGCTGGTAGCCTCGCTTAGGACCTATTTATGAACCCCCCTTTTCCAATTATTCGCATGGCTTTAGACCAGGATGTAGTGCGCAAATGGCCCTTAATGTTATAAATGTGTACCTTTCATGGTGCGCAACGGTATATTGAACGATCCCTGGAGGCCGTATGTGGGAAACTGTGTCATACACTTTTTCAGAAGAAAAGATTGTGGGGTTTCTGGGATGGAGGGGGTTAGGGAGGCAAAGCGATTGGGGCCATGGGAGACTCTCAGGGCAGCGCACTGTGTTTGGACATACTCATGTTGATGTGGCTCAGGATAGGCATGATCCAAAGGTAGCGAGGCATTTGTCAACCGTAGGTCTCTCTCTCTCTCTCTCTCTCTCTCTCTCTCTCTCTCTCTCTCTCTCTCTCTCTCTCTCTCTCTCTGTGTGTGTGTCTGCCCCCGTGTGTGTGTGCTTCTTTGCTGGTGCAGCTTCATCTTTTAGCTGCACCTTCATCTTTTAGCTAGGAATCTATTGTGATGGCGGTGCGAGAATCTGAGATGCAGAGCACTGGTCGTGAGAATATGACCATGGATGTGTATTGCCTAGAATATAGTTTAATGAAGGCTATTCTATTTTGTACAAGTACATGAATGTACGTGTTCCATTGAGCTCGATACTTCTTGTTCAAATCCTACATCTGTTCGTGGTTTTGAAAGTGGAGAAGTGAATCCCTGATACAGGCAAAATGGGAATCGGCATGCGATAGGGTGGAGTTGTTTGTGCCATGATGTTGTGAAGGTCATTCATGGTTGCATGGTCTGTCCAGGGAACCATTTTTTGTGTCTTTTTCTTTGTCTTTTCGTTTGTTCATCATCATTGTCTCAGGGGTATCTTTGTCTCTGTGGCATTAGGCTCTGCCAAGAAGTGCCCTTCCAATAATTTTGTGCTGGGCAGAAGAGATCCTCAGTGGGTGCTGAGAGAATGGTGGACAGTGTTTCTGTGAGGAAGAGTTAATTTTTTTTTTTTTGTGTGTGTGTGAGAGAGAGAGCGAGAGAGAAGTTGTGGGGTGTCCTTACAGTGCTCTTGTGGGTTGTCCTCTTGTGGTATTGTGACTGAGGTAATTTTGTGTGTGTGTGTGTGTGTGTGTGTGTGTGTGTGTGTGTGTGTGTG